AGACCCAAAAATAGTTATTAAAAATAGAAACTGTCATTAACACAATTATTTTAGAATAATTTGATAAGAAATTATAATTGAATAAATCAATCGAATTTACACGATCTGCGTAATTATTTCCTTATTTATCCACGATTTTGAGCAATTAAATACACAAAAAAATGAATAATATTTATTAAATAATATATAAATCTTGGTCAGTTCAAAATTAACATATATTACAATCTCGGTCATTTTTGCAGAAAATGGCTTCGTCATCCTCAAACCCTTAACCCTACACCCCACACCCCGGCCCCAGTGACCCGTCACTTCTATATCTTCAGAACCGCCACCGATCCAAGGCGGTATATGAGGAAGCACCGGGGTTTCGCCACGGCGTGGTTAAGCCATGCCGTGCGGACACCCAGTTCTGGGCTGCCTTGGAGGGCAACAAGCAGAATGCCTGGACTTGGGAGGTGATCGAGAAGGCCGGATTCGGGCCTTTATTTCGGATGGGGCGGGTCCCGACAAACAATCCCCTCATTACATGCCTGCTGGAGAGGTGGCGTCCGGAGACGCACACCTTCCACTTCGACTTCGGGGAGGCCACGATCACTCTCCAGGACGTTCAGATACTCTTTAGCCTCCCCGTCAGCGGGGAACCGTGCTGGGGAAAGACCGTACAGCGGACTCCCCAAGAGTGGAGAGTTCATTGCGTGGACGCTCTAGGGTACCTCCCATATGTACAGGTATATTTTTACCTAAAACTTTTATTTGTTTATTTTTTTTTTTATTATTATTGTGTTTATGTATACTTAAGTCATGAGTCGTTTTTAATATATATATATATATATATATATAAAAACGTATTTCAAGGATCACGGGGACCAGGACTACGACCCCAAGACTTGGGACATAAATGGCCAGTACATGTATTTCAGTAGTCTGGAAGAGGAGTGCAAGCGACCTCTGGAGGATGGACTCCCTACATCAGAGTACAAGAAGAGGGCGAGAGCCCTGATACTCTGGTGTATTGGGTCCTTCTTCTTCCCCGACCATCGGGTCAACGGAGCCAACCTCTACTGGTTGTCCTTGTTGAATGTCATCGATGCCATTCCAGGGTACAGCTGGGGTAGATCGCTTCTGGCCGGGGTATATAGAGTGCTCTACGACGCTTACGAGAAGGACGAAAAATATATCAAGAGCTGCGTACAGTTGATTCAGGTAAATTTATTTACTTGTTAATTGCAAATTAATTTTATTTACAATAATATGTGCTAAAAAATGTATATGTCCATATGTGCAGGTTCGGGCATGGGAACGCATCCCTCGTGTTCGCCCATTAATGAGAAAAACACATTTCGGTTCTCAGGCTGGTTGTCCTTTGGGTGCAAGGTAATAATACCCCATTTAAGGTGGGTGGGATCGAGGGACATGAGGCACCTGGGGACGGGCACGGCTACCATCCGAGATCAGCTGAGTGGCCTGAGAGAGACTGATGTAAGTTTCTTAGGTCATAATAATAAATAATTATTATTTTTTAATTCTATTTTTTTATTGAATTCATTAATAATTCTATAAATGTTTTTTTTTACAGTTCGATTGAGTACCTTATCAGACATACATAGACGAGGGTCGACTCCCGGATGAGTGTACACGAGACCGACATCTCTGGATGTACAAGGGGTGGATCTTCTGCTGGAACATCGCAGAACCCCACTAGCCTGATAGGGTGCTCCGCCAGTTTCGGTGCCACCAGCCCATTCCCCAGACGTCGATCATTACTAGTCTGGCCGACTGGGACACCCGCCACAAAGGCCAGGGCATGACTGGGAGGGCATACACCGATTGGCGGGCCTTCCATGCTGATCATGGGAGGATCTGGACCGAAGAGAGAGATCAGAACGTCCTCTCAGATGTCCCGGTGGATCCCTTCCTGCAGCCGGCAGAGAGGTACATTGATTGGTATCACAGTAGGACTGTGAGACTATTCAATGACCCTAACAACTACGCGGCGATCTCACAAGACGGCAGGTTTCAGCCACATGCCGACCGAGAGAAGTGTCAGGTAAGTGTCTGCTAATTTGTGATTATTATTATTATTATTATTATTGAAGTAATTATTATTATTATTATTTGTAATATTTGATAGTTATTTGAATTTTATTTTGCAGAATTCGGGTACGGAGGGGGCGTATAACATGCTATCGAACATTGAAGACATTGATACGCTACCTCCCCGAGCGCAGTCACAGTTCCAGCAAGCCCAGCAACTTCTGTACGCTTCTCTGACTGTTGGGGGTCAGTCGGTCACACAAGAGGCATCGTCGGAGCAAATTCTATCTCAAGAGGAGTACGCCCCACCCCAACAGACACAATCCCAGCGGGCGAGGCATAGACCGGCGCCCCACATTGGTGGAGGGAGAAGACGCCGTGACCGCGAACCTGCCGCTGCCAATGAAGAAGATGAAGAAGGTGAGATTTTTTATTTAACTACAAATATATATTTTATTTTTGTTTGTTTTTATTTATTTTTCCGGTCGAATTATTGATTTTTTACAAAAAAATAATTAATTAGGTGAAGAAGAAGAAGAAGAAGAACTAGCCACGCCTAAACCGACCGCAGCATCGTCTTCTTCGGTACCACGACCTCGGAGAGGGTCCCGAATACGCAGGCCTAAGAATGCATATTCTCCTAGTTAGTTTGTGTTGCATTCTGTGATTTTGTGGACATTTTTTTTTTCTTTTATTTTTTGTACTGGATTTTCAGATATTTATTCTTGATGGTTTTGTGTACATATTTTGTGGTTCATTTTTTTTTTGTCGGTAATTGTGGTTGTCTTTTTGTATATAGTGTTTCATGTATGTATGCATGCTATATTTTATCATTTGACGAATGAATTGATATTAAAGTGATATTATTTCGTGTTCAAAATGTTAAATCATAATTTATAAAAAATCTTCATATTGAAGGATAAGAATAAAAATTCAGCCAAAATAAACGCGGTCGCTGGTAAACGAGTTCGTGAGCATCTAAGAGTCGAGCCTAACTTAAAAAAAATTAAAAAAAATAAAATAAAATAAATACATAAAAACGGATTCTTAGAATCCGTTTTATAACAAAATAAATAAATAAATAAACACGGATTATGAAAATCCGTATTCATGGGTAAAACGGATTATCACAATCCGTATTAGTTAACACGGATTTTAATAACACGTTTTTAATTGAATTAATTAAGGGTAATCACGTCATTAAGGGAAGACGAATTCTCAAAATTCGTTTTTCGATCGGAATTAACGAAAAACGGATTCTCAGAATCTGACCGTTTTATTTTTTCTACAACTTTTTTATTGTTTTATTTTTTGCCACATATTTTTTTTTTAAATAAATAAATGATTCAGAATAATGGACTTACCGCGATGAAACAGTAAAATGATAGAAGATTGAACTTTTTGTGTAAGAAAATTCATTGGTTGTCGGCAAGAATTTGCCTATAAAAGGGACAATTAGGTTGAATCAAAATACGTACGGAAGTTTTTAATTCGGCAAGAATTTTTCTTTTCTTTGTTTCTGGCTTTGTTAGCTCGGTTCTTGTCCTGGTGGCTTGAATTTGGTCTGTAATCATTTGATTGTACTGACTTTACCTTGTTTTGGTATAAAAGTTTCGGATTATCGTTGGAAAAGAAAAATACATATGGAGGAAGAAGAAAATCAATATATTCTATATTCGATTTTTATATTCAGTTCTTTATCGTTTATAATATGTTATCAGCAAGCGCGTTTTACCCGATCACAAAGGTAAGAATAAATCAATTATATATATATATATATATATATATATATTACATAAAATTGTAAAATTTTACTAATTTATATATTACCATTAAAGCTCTGCCATAGTCAATAATACGTGGGTGGTAAGATGATATACTGGATTTATTTACATATTAAGAAAAATAACTTTAAGTTGTAATAATAAATAATATTATTACTTGTACTTAATGCTTGTTTACCTAGTAATGTGGTGTGAAATTTATGACTGCTTAATTTTATTCTCACCAAAATATTTATCGAGTAGTGTGGAGTGATATTTTATTTATTTATTATTTTGTTATTTGTACCAACTAAAAGATTTGTCGAATAATGTGGAGCGATTCTAATTGATATGCATGAAGAGTTTATAATTAATCATGAATGATATAATTAACAAATACAGTATCAATAATATATTCTTGAAAATAATATATATAGAGATAATAAAAAAAGGGAAAAATCCAACGGCTGGTTACCTGTTTTTGCAACGGCTATTTACCAATCATATATATAAGTACAACTATACTTCATATATCAACACACATTCTAAACTCTTAATATATATATTTTTCTCAAAAAATTTAAAAAATGTTTGATATGTTATTTATAACTACCATTATATTGGTTACTCTATACACTTTGGAAATTTTTATGATGTTGTATCGTACTGCTCATTTTGTATTATATGTGTTAGGTCTTTGTCTCACATTTTTCTTATTAGCTGTTCTAATTGGCTTCAGTATTGAATGGTTATATATAAATTCTTATTTTTCGAATCTAAGTATTGATGTTATATTTTATAGTTGTCATGTCAAACCCGGTCAAGCTTGACTTTGAAGAACTTGATATCTCTGAGAAAAATTATATTTCATGGACGTTACATGCTGAAATTCATTTGGATGCAAGAAGTTGGGAAAAACAATAATTTCCCCAAATAATTCATCAATTCAAGATAAAACAAGAGCCATGATTTTTCCGCGTCATCATTTGAATGAGACATTGAAAATGAATATTTAACTGTTTTGAAGATAGCAAGACTGAGTTAAAATTGAGTTAGATTTGAGCTAAAAAAAGTGATTAGTTAAAAACGATTAGATTTTTTTAAAATAACTTGTATCCAAGCACACTCTAAAGAGCTATGTTAGTTCTAGAAACCAATTTTCCCAAGCTAAGCCCAAACGGTTCTGCTAAATGGCCCAGTTAGTTCCATTCAGCCCTAAATGACCCAAAGTAAAGTAAACTCAATCTTGACCTTCTCTATTTCTGAATATCCCAATCATACCCACAGTCTTCATTTTATATAAAAGCGCCACTCTTAAACCCTAGCTTTGTTCTTTCATCTTCCGCCTACAGTCCTACCGCATACCGATCGGAGAAAAAAGGTTAGCCCACCATTTCTAGGTACAAAAATTTACGTGTATCCGTAATGTACTTGCTCGTGCAAAGATATTTGTAGCCTGAAAATGGACTTGGGTTATTTCTCTATTATCATTTTTATGTCTTTTGTGATCTCGGAAAAGATGGAGATGTTGTATTGGATTATTTCCATGTTTCTACCAAAACATAAAATTGTTTGAATTACTATTATGGTTGACGACAAAAAAATCTGAACAACTTTCATTTCAGTAAAACGAGAACTACCCACTCTTGAAAATGACGTGATAATTTTCCTACGATTTTTGTTTATGTATCTGTTTATCGAGAGAGTTCTTTATATATCTGTTTTTATAGTTTTTGTACATGTTTTGGAATTTATTTTTCCCCAGACATTAGTCACAAAGGAGCAATGATTATGGCGTCTGTAGTTTATTGGTTTATTTTCATATCTAAAAGATGTATATTATAATTATTCTTATATTTTTCTTGTGATGTATATTGTTTTGGATTCTTTGAATTTTACTATAATATATTGAGCTGTAGCAATATTTAGACGAACTTGTAATTATTGTTGTTACATAGTGACAGTGTTTAATTTTTAAGGTTGTTAAATATGTGTAGTGGTTGAGAAGTTGTAGATTTTGATATGAAAGAGAGAATGTTCTTTTGAGTTTTAGAATGAGTAAACGTTGAGGAAGAATTACTTTTGATGTGATAGTTGTTCATTTTTAGATTTGAGAATGTTTTCTATTGAGAATGGCTTTAGAAACTATAATCTTCTACAATAGTTGTGCTGTGGAACTATTAGTTCATTGCTGCTCACTTGTTAAGGTGTCTAAAAATGTCAAGAGTTTGTTGGTTTGTTAAAGTTAGATCACTAAAGGTTCTTTTTATTTATTTATTATTTATTTATTTATTTATTTATTTTTCGGGTTTGGATGTAGATAATGGCTCCAAAGCAGCCAAACAGTGGGCTATTTGTGGGTTTGAAGAAGGGGCATGTTGTTACCCCCAAGGAATTAGCCCCCCGCCCCTCGGATAGGAAAGGGGTAAGTTTTGTCACATATAATACTTGTTGGTTAAACAATGTTATTAACCATTGTATTCAATTGCATAAATTAGTTGTTCAAGCTCGTTTAACATTCTAACAAATTTTGTAAGCTTATTCAGTTTAGCATTCACACCAGGGTTATAGAAGCTGAACATAAGGATGTTTTATGCGTGATTGATTATATGCATTGTTTGGCCACCTCATTTTATGCATTAAGTTCAACTGTTGCAGTTTTATGTGTTGGTGTGATAGTAAGTAGTAACTATATTTACAATAATACCCAGATGCTGGTGTGCCAATGAGTTAGAACTTTAAAAAGTGGAATTATATGTTGTTGTCCTCTAGATTGTAGTGGACACGTTCTTCTGTAAGCCGCCCTTTACATGGATTTAGACTTCCTATATACCTATTATGAAAATGTTCAGATTCTTTACTTGTAGAAACGTTTGAGCGTCTTTGTGATATAAATTTACCTCAATCCAGAAAATTTGGGATTTGTTTGCCATGTGACTTGTGATTTATATGATCCTCATCCTTTATTTTGTGGTACTTTACTTTTTTTTTTTCGTTTGAATAATAAAGAAAACAAGCAAGAGGGTGCATTTTGCGAGGAGTCTCATTAGAGAAGTTGCTGGGTTTGCTCCTTATGAGAAGAGAATCACTGAACTTCTTAAAGTTGGAAAGGACAAGCGTGCCCTCAAGGTTGCCAAGAGAAAATTGGGCACCCACAAGAGGGCAAAAAAGAAGAGAGAGGAGATGGCTGGTGCTCTTCGCAAGATGAGGTAATTTTATTGAAGTGATTCTCATATATGGATGCCGATAATGCGTTTTACTCAGTTGTCCCTGAATTCAATGAATTTTATTATTTTTTGTCGTATATTATGCACAAACTGAATTTGTTGAATGCTATTTGCAGGGCTGCTGGAGGTGGCGAAAAGAAGAAGTGAAGTGTCGTTTTCTTTATTGGCTTTGTTGTTAGAGGGAGCTTGAAAGTATGTGGAGACTACTTGTTAGCTGCACTGTATTTTGTTAATCATTTTGAAGAGATTATTGTGGATTTATCCTCTTTTTGCTAAAAGGCATCAACATATTTTTGATTATGTGTACTCTGTCCTTGCTTATATATTATAATTGACTTATGAGCCATTTCAGTGTGCTTGTGATGAGCCGAAGCCGTTTGCCTTTATTGTTTTTCTACTCTGTTCTAATCCAGTTCTGTTAACTAATACCTAATCTGTCTCTTATTTGTCTTAACTCACTCTGGTTCATCTCGGTATTTGTTTAAATCAATTACGCAATCCTTATTGCTTACTGTTACTTTTTTATATTAGATTTTGACAAGTGATTAAAAGTGCAGCATTGGTCGGTTAAATTGAACTGGGAACCAGCAGCATAATGGATTTATGTCCGGTTTGGACGGTGGGACAATTTGTCCCACCTTAGACATAACTATTATCCTATCTTGGCATGTAAAATTGTTTGATTGTTTTTTTACTTAAAATGCATCATGCTTTATAAACATTGGGCACAAACTGAGGTGTAAAGTTATTTATTTATTTATTGTAAAGTTATTTATTGTACCGGCTATAAAATTCTTGTGTGATGTTGGATATTCTCTAACCCAAGTTACAGCTTGCATTTGACATGAACTCAGAATACAAGGAAAAAGTTAACAAGAGGCACTAGTGGCAAAACTATGTCTTGAACTTGTGTGAAAATCTGTGGACCCCTTCCTTCCAGTCCCCGGCAACTCGTCTCACAGTTTCAGAAACAGTGGAAGCGAATTCATTAGAATTACGTAGGGTGGCCTCTTTCAGCTTATCCGCCTTTTTCTTCAAATTTGATGTCCATAAAACTATCTTTTCGGTTAATATGTTAATTGTATCTTTGCATTTGGCTCCGACTTTATTTGCCATCCTTGTAAGTTTGACTACTAAGACCTCTTGAAGTTTCTGCTACCAACAGAAAGCAATGTGGTTGCAGTCGCATACTTCATTTTCGACCACAATCTTCAAGTTGAGAACGGTGCTGAAAATTGGAATGAGAGTTGGTTGTCGAAAATAGTGAATCTTTGGCCAAGTAAGGGAACCTTCAAGCACGAGTTGCAGCTCACCACACGTGACCCCCGTCGCGACCTTGCGAGTAATGACTCGCGGGTCACGAATTCAAGCTCGCTCGTGGACACCGACCAACCTCCCATCAGCTTGCCACCACTCGCGACATTTTGGCCTTTACGTCTATTTTACTTGATGAGCCGACATAGTTTTTAGGATGTTGTGTGTTTGTGTTGATTCTCCCACTGATGCTTAGTCAACGTTGCTAACTTTTTTATTGAAGAAACATGTTTATTTCATTTTGAATCGTCTTAATTTGTGCTTTTCAATGAGTTGAACCCCGATGATTCTAAATTGATTGAAGATGTGTTATTGTGGTACACATAATTAAGAGTTACATTCTTGTTTTGTCTATTGTAATTCCCAATTGATATATACTTTGAATTTGCCTTCTTTGAGGATTCATTTATAAAGCTTATGCTCGTTTTTTTATTCTCGTTATATATACGTCGTTGTGATGTGTTGATTTGATTGAATACTTTTGAATTTGCGATGTTGTGATAATTTGGTTGCCCTCTCTAAAAAAAGAGAAGATTTAGTGAGTTCGCGAGGTAAGTCTGGATTAGACTCATCTTGTCCCGATTCACCTTATGTAATGTAAATAACGAGTACGGAAAACCGGTCTAAGAGACTCCGGGTGACCCTCAAGATTAAACCTAGATAATCATTATTCCAAAATCCTCGTTTGAAAAAAGTGGCTTATGGAAAAAATAATAATAAAAAAAAAAGAAGAAGAAGAATGAATAAAAAGAGGAGAACTTTCGTCTTAGCCATTTGATTTCATTTTGCTATGTATTGAGTTGAATTGTAGCCCCCTTCGTTTTGTTAAAAATCTTAGTATTCGGGAGTACGTTTATATTGGCATGGGTAAATTTGTAGAAGTTGAATTGTGACGAGTCGACCGTGTGTGAAAGTGAATTGGTTGTTTGTTATTTTGTATAATTCTATATTGTAGGGGAACCTATTTACTATAAAATCTCGAGATAAAATTATCTTGGCATCATTGAGACAATATAAACGAATAGATGAATTTATCTTTTCGAAGGGTTAGCAGTGTTGTTTGCTTAAGGACAAGCAAAATGTTAAGTGTGGGAGAGTTAATTTTTTTATGTTTCTGTTGTAAATTTATGTGCTTTTAAGTGATTAATTTGTGCTTGTATTAGTTTATTTTAGGTTATTCCGAGTTCATTTAGTTGTTTTTGCTCGTTTACGTACTTTCATGTTGTTTTGATGCCTTTTGCATTTTATTCTATTTTTATATTATATTTTGCAGGAACAATGCGCTTCGAAGAGTAAACGAGCAATCCCTCAAAATTCGACCAAACAAGCTGAATCATTGCAAGGTAATGTCGTCGTCAAGGGTAGCACACATGTTACCGAGAACCCCTGCGCCTGCCGACGAGATTATCAGCAGCACACGTCGCCCGAGTCGTTGCCCAACCATCACCGAGCACAGCTGCACAGACCCAGCGCGTCACCGGGCGTCACTCGCACAACTTGCCCTTTGCTTGCGCAGCACATCACAGCTGCCCACCAAAAGCCGCACATGCTCAAGCACATGGCTTGTGCAGCACGTCACGCATCCCCATAGCAGTTGCTGAGCTCGCACTTGCCAGCCAGAAGACACTCGCAAACATGCAAGCACAAGGATACACTCGCAAGCTAAAAGGCACTAGCGAGTGCCATGCAGATTGCCCTAGAATCATCTACTCTCCAACTCCACCCCACGTGCACGTGAGTGCGCTCATGGCACTCATCAACTAACCTCCTTACACACGCTCGGTAGCAGGGGCGGATCTAGCAAATATAATGACCGGGAGCCTAACCATATAATTAAAAAAATATAAAAAAACTTAATGAAAAGGGCAAATGCAAAAACGGTTTCTTGAGGATAAAACCTGATCATCTTGACTAATTTTCGCATTGATACCAAAATTTCCCGTCCTATATTCTTTCTGCCCGAAGATACTAGAATTTTCCTCAAATCTAATTGGATTCAAAGTATCTTTTTTTGAGACATTTTTACAAGAATTTTGATGACATGTCCTTTTTGAAAATATCTCTCAATGTCTGATATACAAAAATAATAATATAAATTTACAATAAATGAAATATCTCATTTTGACATATCACACTTTAAATAAAAAGAATATATTTACCACTATGTAAAAAAATAAAAAAGAGTAATTTTTATCTCTATTAAAACAAACAGAAAGAATTTCGTTATCTTGTAAGTAGTCTTACAGTATAATTGGACCGAAAAATTGACAAACTCTTTGACTCTTTCATTTTCCCCCTATTTTTCCCTCTTTTTCTTTCCCTCTGTATTTGTCTGCGTGATCTATGCACTCTTTTCTCTTGTTTAATTATTTTGTTAAATGCTTTATTAGTTTATTATATTAAGCTTATTTATTGGGCTCATATGGGCTAGTAGTAATACTAGGGTTTTGATGGGTCTACTTCCAGAGCTGGAGTAAACCGGTGGATGTGAGCTCAGATCTGCTTGAACCGCCTCCAAATCGTCGCTAGACCGCGAGATACCTGCAAAAACTCAAAGCTGGAGGTGTTTCCGGCGTAGAGCCTCCGACGCTCAAGTCAATATGAGAGTGATGAAGAGGGGCTGCGCAGCAGCTATGGGGGAGAGTGGGAATGGATGAGAGTTAGGGTTTGAGGTTACCTCACCTCCTTTATATAGGAGTGAATACTTACTTGAAGTACCTAATATGCCCAAGTCGGTGGACCTAGAAGGTCCAAAATGCCCCGGTCGATTTGCCTCCCCTTGCTGCTGAGTCATCACAAGATTCCTTCTTGTCCTTTGTAATATGTGGAGCTTCAAGTATGCTGCAAGTGTGATAAGTCGTCATCACGTCTCTGTTATTCAAGGTGTGCGAGGTCGACTTCGAGAGCTAGGAGGTCGACTTGTGGATATGCGTGGATTCGGAGGCTACGCTTGGATAACTCTCTGAGGTGCAGTCGTCTTCAGAGGGTCATCTTAGCTGAGTCGACTGTTGAGAGTCGACTTAGGATATTAGGATGCTCGGGCGTTATGCTCGTGCTGTTCCTCTCCCATTGATGTCGACTGGCGAAAGTCGATAGACTAAAGTCGACTTACGAGAGTCGACCAGACCAATTTCTGCTTCTTCTCGGTTGCTCTTGGTAGAATCGACTTTAGGGAAGTCGATTTGAGCATGTCGACGGAGTCATGTCGACATGCGAGTTGTTCGAGTGGTTTACCGGTCGAGTAGGAAACCTCTGGACCGGGTTATCCTTATATGGCTATATCGGGTTTAGTCTTTGTGAGTTGGACAGCTTTATTGGGCTCATATGCTATAATTAGTATTTTTTAGATTAAACAATATGAGTTAATATTAATACTAGTTTTTTTTTCCTAGGCCCGCACTGGTCCCAATAAGGCTCCGCCCTTGCTCGGTAGCCATACTCACTGCAGAAATTTGCACACTCGCAAGTGCCGAGCAGGTCGCTAGTCTCGACAGTCTTCTCTCACCAGACCACGAGTTCTTTTCATTAAATGTGTGAATTAGCTTTTGTAGGGTATAAATACACTCCTTGAGCCATTTTTTGGCAATAGCTTGGACTTGAGAATCATTTGTTTAGTTTTTATTTTTCTTTCTATTTTTCATTTTCTCTCTAAGGGCTACAAGACCTAATTTTTATTATGTTATTTCTCCGTCAATATTGCAACTTTCAGATTTGTTTCTACTAGTGGATTCTAGCTGAGGCTTGGAGATTAGGTTGAGGATCTCATAAATTACTTTGACTTTGCTTTGTTAGGAAATATTTTATATATAATCTAATTATGGGCAACATATTATATACAATTATATTAGCTATTCAATTAATCAATGGACTCAATTAAGTGATCTAAATAAAGTAGAGTCCTAGGACTACATAAATTGATATGGGCTAATGGGTGGATACCTAATATTACTAGGGTTAGATGATAATGGGTGACCTACCCTAGTAATATATAAAGACCCTCTTGGTTATGGTCCCCAATACACTAAATCAAACCGTTTCTTTTCTCCCCATCTGAAAGAAAAGGTCGGTCCCATCTGAGGAATAAGACGATTTAGTTGAGAAAGGCCATAATTCCAATTGATACAATTAATCAATCGAGATCGTGTTCCGCAAAAGAAATTCTATTAATGGATCTAGGTATTTCTAATAATCTTTCAAATCCAGAGCGATGTTAATTTTCTTAGAATTAGAGCATGTTCTAGGATAATTATTATTGAATTTATATTATGTGATTATAAATTCCTACAAGTGGTATCAGAGATTGCTAGATATGTATTATTTATATATACGTGTTTATACGTTGCTGCTTGAACACAATAGAATAAAAGTTCTGTGGCCTTCTGATTCACGCTTCGAAATTCGTGTTCAATTTTTATTTTTATTCGACGTGTATTTTTTGATGTATGGATCCGACAAATTTATGTATTGTTGCTTTGTTCTGTTCGCGATTTTCAATTCCTTGATTTGGGTTTTGATATAAGGGCATCCGCATTGGTTTAACAAAATTTTCATTCATTCAATCAAAAAGTTACACTCTCTCTCATCCACATCATCTCCACATCATCTTTCCACCAAATCTCTCTCCATTTAAACACACACCCACATTCATACCCATTCATTTAAATACATATGTGGGACCCATTATCCACTCATTCAATATAATTTTTTTATTCTATCCACAATAAAAATAAATTTTAATACTTTTAAATTATAATAATAAATTTTAAATACATGAAAATAAAAAAAATACTACAAGACCAAAATAACATAAATTAGGATTACACAAGAAAAAAATAGTACAATTACAAAAAAAAATAAAAAAAAATTAGTTGTTGGCAAAATGAGTCCAAATGTGCTCAACTAAATCGGCACGAAGTTGATGATGCACTGTGTTATCTCGTATCTCTGAACTTCTACGGATATAATTTTGAAATTCTCGATTTGAACCCTGGACAGGTTGTGCGGGCTCTTCATCCTCGTCATTGTTCCAATGTGTTATTACAACTCCTTCATTTTCAACAATCATATTGTGTAGAATAATGCATGT